AAAACGTCATGGAGAACTTCAATGAGGAGACCTTAGAAAATGTGGTTTAACAATCTTTAAATTTCAGTTTTGATCTTCAGACCATATATGATGCACGACTGAGAGATGACGTTATCAGAATTTCGTTATCAGCGAAATAGCTGATAATCAAACTGAATGGAAAATCCCAGGAAGTATACCACTACTTAGGGAGAAAGAGGTTTATATACATCATTCTGCCTGAGGAATTTTCTTGAAAAATGTTTTCGGATTTTGGAGGCTAAATAAAATGTTTCAAATGCAGTTTCTATTATTTTTACTTATACTCTGTATTGTTTCAAAGAGGATTTAAGATAGCATACAGGCATATGAGAAAATACAACAAAACATGATGAATCACATGTGGGAAAAAAAATAAAGGTAGAGACATAAAATAGAGCATGGAATGGAAGTGACTTCTAAAATATGAAGTTATACATTTATTGACTAGGCCTTTAGTCCCTCATGGTAATTTTAAATACTTATGCAATACTAAGAGTTATGTGTTAAGTATATATTTTTCATAATTTACAAAATACATTCACATAGAACATCTTATTTGATCCCAAATTGACTTTGTGAGGCAACTATTATCTACGTATTCCAGATAAGGAAAATGAGGCCCAAAGAAAGACTTGAAAATCGAGTCTTTGCTCTTTGCATTAGATTATACTGCTAGGTAGCAAGTGATCATTACTTCTGTGCATCTTAGCAGTGGAGTAATGCACATCGGTCCTGTGCAAGAACAACACGCATTGATTCATGTGGCCCTGACGTTGTCATGAGAGAAGGATTACTGATGCTTTATAGGTAGCTTCAGACCTGGAGGTTGGATAGACATAATATTGGACTTTAGACTTTGGAATAGCCCTTTAACACTTAACTCCTTCACTTTTTATGTATGCATGTTATTTATTTATAATTTTTTCAAATGTTTATTTATCTTTAAAAAAATTTTTTTTTAACGTTTTATTTATTTTTGAGACAGAGAGAGACAGAGCATGAACAGGGGAGGGTCAGAGAGAGGGAGACACAGAATCTGAAGGAGACTCCAGGTTCTGAGCTGTCAGCACAGAGCCCGATGCGGGGCTCGAACTCACGGACCGCGAGATCATGACCTGAGCCGAAGTCGGCCGCTTAACCGACTGAGCCACCCAGGCGCCCCTCAAATGTTTATTTATCTTTGAGAGTGACAGAGACAGAGCACAAGTGGGGAAGGGAGCTCTAAGAGGCCAAATGATTTTTCACAAGTTATGGCAGCGTCACAGGCCAGGCTTCCTAAGTTTTTGTTTTGTTTTACACTGCACCGCCTCTATAGCTCTACCTTCACTTCTCTGATTTCTTTACACACTCAACTCTGATCTTTCTCCTGTTTCCCCTGTGTCCATCTGGTAAAGCACCATACGCATACTCACATGGCTACAAGACCCTGCGTGACCTGGCCCCAGTGACTTCTCCAGCAACTCCCCTCCTCTAACAGTATGGGAATGCTTCGGACTCTTAAGGATGCTCAGCTTTTGTGTCACCCTGACAGAGCTTTCCTGTTGAGGCTGTTTCTAAAGGCCACGCCTCCGAGAGTAGAAAGCAACTGAGTCTCTCCCGGAAGGAGGAGACATTCTAGATGTCCACCACCCATGAAAGACCTGGGTGAAGGCACTCAGATGGGAAGGACAAAACGGCCTCTGGAACCTGGACGCCTCGGGCAGGGACCTCCCCTTTCCTAAAGTAAAAATGAGTGAACGAGTTTATGCAATGCCGGGTAACTTTTCACGTCAAAATTTTTTTCTAATGTCTATTCATTTCTGAGAGAGTGTGAACAGGGTAGGGGCAGAGAGAGAAGGGGACAGAGGATCTGAAGTGGGCTCTGCATTGACATCAGAGCACGATGTGGGATTCACACTCATGAACGTGAGATCAATCCTGACTCGAGCCAAAGTTGGATGCTCAACCTGCTGAGCCACCCAGGTGTCC